TAAACTCATTCTATGGGTACATTGTTTTTTGTCTGCCCAGCATTCTGCCCCATAGAGCAAAGCTAGTCTCACCGTTGTCCTATAGAACTTGCCCTTCAGCCTCATTAGTATGAGGCGATCACATAAAATTCCAGTTGCACATCTCCACTTCGCCCACCCATCTCTAATTATGTGTGCGACATCTTCCTCGATCTCTCTATTTTCCTGGATTATCGACCCAAGATATCGAAAGTGTGGTCATTTTTATACTTTATGGCCGTCGATCTTAACTACTTACTCGTCTCTACTCTTATTATTACTAAATATGTATTCCATATACTCTGACTTAGTCTGACTAATTTTAAAACCTTTGGATTCTAGAGCATCTTCCAAAGTTCTAACTTTGTGTTGACGTCGTTTCGGGTCTCATCAATCAAAACTGTCATCTGCGAACAACATGCACCACAGTACCTCATCCTGTAGGTGCCTAGTTAAGTTGTCCATAACTAAGAACAAAGAGGTACGGGCTCAATGCTGACCCTTGATATAGACTTATTGTCACTGAAAACTCACTCGTCTCTCCACTAGTTGTTCGTACACTAGTAACCGCTCCATTGTACATATCTCTCACCAAGTCAATGTAGTGTCTAGAGACGCCTTTCTTTTTCAACACCCACCAAATCAAATCTCGAGGTACTCTATCATAAGCTTTCTCTAGATCAATAAAGACCACCCTTCGCCCTAAACTTTCCAATCAGTTGCCTAAGTAGGAAAATAGCCTCCATTGTTGACCTTCCTGGCATAAAGCCAAATTGGTTTTTAGATACACTTGTTTCATGCCTTAGTCGTTGCTCAATGACTCTTTCCTAGAGCTTCATAGTATGGCTCACAAGCTTGATCCCTCGATAGTTTCTACAATTTTGTATGTCTCCTTTGTTCTTGTAAATAGGTACCACAATACTTCGTCCATTGTCTGGCATTTTTATTGTTTTCAACACCTTGTTGAACAACTTTGTCAACCAGTCAATGCCAATTTCCCCCATGCACTTCCAAACCTCTATCAGGATACCATCTGACCCTAAAGCCTTTCTTATCTTTATCCTTTTCAAAGCTTCTTTCACTTTTGACATCCTAATCCTACGAATGCATCTGTGACCCCACCATCACTTGTACCAAAAGTCCCTTCAACCACTATGTTCCCATTTTGTTCGTCATTTAATAATTTTTGAAAATGGACTCTTCACCTTTCGTTGACCTCATCACCTTGTACCAAGACCCTGTGTTCCTCACTCTTAATGCATTTAATATTGTTTAGATCCCTACACTTTTTCTCTCTTATTTTTGCTAATTTGAAGATATCTTTTTTACCATGGATATATAAAGGAATCAAAACTCATTGAAATCAAAAACCATCCCCATGAAACGAATCATTCCCAACAACCTTATTTGTGCCAAAAAATTACACCACTGGATAGGGAATCCCTCTCAACCCACACATGGCAAAGATTTCACCTCCCAATTTGACTCCTCGAGCATGTAAAAGGAGGATAAAAATTCCCTCACCATACACAATCAGTAAGATAAGCTAGAGGAACATCTTGATAACAGAATTTTACACGACTTAACGGGCCCCCTGGGTTTTGAAAACATGCAAGTTCTTGACAAGCATTCTTAACTCCAAAACAGTACATGTATGTAGCTCACTTGTATCTTTTATTATCAGTGGATGAACAGACCTGAATGTTCTATGGTGCATGAAATGCCCTTTCCATTGTCATTGGAAGCAATAATATCTTTAAGGAGGTTTGACACTTGATGCAACTGATTAATAGGAAGAGCTTGGTGATGTCCACCCTACTTTGAGGCTTCTAGCCTCACTTATGGGTATTGAGATTTACATGAGATGTAGTGTTAGGCTTAGGTATGCATGAAGGGCCCTTTGTTTTGACCTATATGGAAGCCCTACAATCTTGTCACTATCTCAGAGTGAAAACTTAAGGATGTGAGATGTGTGATTATCTGCACTTGGTATTCCTAGAAAGTATAGAAACAGTGCTCAAGTGCCTAGATCTTTCATATCTTTCGAGATCCACCCTAGAATATGGGGTCCAAAAGCCGAAATAAGTGATTCATTTTTAGCCCTTATAAAACTGATTCTTGAACCTTTTCCACGCTCATGTAACGTCGAGGTACTGCAGAAGAAAAAACTGCAAAATCCGATCCAATTTTTTGTAATCGATTGGTTAACATGTTGGTTGACCGTATTCTGAAACAAGGAAAAATATCATTGGCTTATCATCTGCCTGCTTGCATTTTAATTACATTCAGATCAACCATGATGGTGACCTTCAAAGTTTTTCTTAACATTTCCTCAATTTAATTTATACCTGTAGCTAATCATGACCAAGTGGTAAATATATCAATCTCCAAATTGCACTTCTCAGCCTATGCAAGTTATCTAACATTGAAAACACTAAAAGCAAAAGAACAAACCAACATGTAAAAGCAAAACTAAAACAAATTTTAAACATCCATGAAAGTACAAAAGAATGATGATGAAAGATAGAATTAAAACTTCAATGGACCGTACAAGTTTGAACGGTACATTTTCATCAGAAAAATTTCAACAGTATACATTACTATTCCCAGGTTCTTGTATTTTTAAAGCATACACATGAAAACTCAACAAGGAACAAGAAAATTATATGCAAAGCTAAAACAAATTTAAAACATCCATGAAAGTACAAAAGAATGATGATGAAAGATGAAATTAAAACTTCAATGGACCGTACAAGTTTGAACGGTACATTCCATCAGAAAAATTTCAACAGTATACATTATTATTCTTAAAGCATACACATGAAAACACAACACGTAACAAGAAAAAAGATCAAAGGTTATATTTCAATTCTCAACGTTCCAAGTTACATTTCTTCATCATCCTACGACGAAACTTATTTTTATAACCAACTTTCAGAATTTTCAATATTTATGAACTAGAATCATGTTCCTCTTAAAGTAAAATCAACCAAATAATGCAGGTAGCACAAAATTTGCACATAAATGTCAATACAGAGAAAATTCTAATCGATAGTGGTGTCAAAAATCCAGAATAGGACTGCACTGAATAAGCAGTTGTAAGGATTGCCATTGCATAAGGGCAAACATGAGGTCAAGGCAAAGTGCTCCTTCAAATGTCAAGATCTCAAATAGTAGACATTATACTTGAAAGAGGAAGCTGCAATAACATCAACCTCAGCATTACATCCGGAAGTCTGCTTTTATACCTCCTCGCTTCATCACCATTCTGAATGTGAATTATGAGATACCCAATAAAAATACCCTATTTAAGAGATTCCAACAGGATGGTCAGCCAAAATTTCATCCAGGAATGCTATAAAGATCATTCATACTCAAACCAAAAATTAATCAAAAATGAAATACAAAACTGGCGTATCAAAAGGCATGAAAGCAGTCTTTGGATGTTCAAAGGTTTCTAGTGCGAAAAAAGTACCACTCTTCACATGGAACCTTAGAGCACCAAAAGGATTTTCTTAAAAATTTCAGTGATCTGATGGTAAAAATATGTGGTTCTTTGATATGAATGATGTGATTGGATTCCAAGTGTTAAATCCACATGCTCCATGACTTCAAATTCCAAAGAAAAAGTAAAGGGAAGGATGAAGCGCAATTTATTAAAAAAAAAAAAAAAGGCTCTCCACCTCAAGGTCCTATAAGAATCTCTAAGGTTGACCCTAAATGAAAAAATAAAAGTGTCGTCACAAGAAACAATTGCATGCCTGCTCCTCTACGAGTTTTCAAAACCAAAACTCTTACAAAATACCCAAAAAGAACTGACAAAAAAATGATGATAAATAGAAATCCTACAAAATGATCACAGTGAGGGATAAATTGTTCTGTGTCAAACAAAACAGAGTAACCTGATTAATGACCACTATAATTTGTCATTTCTATGCTTCATTCCATTGAGCTTGGGATAAGATCAAAACCACATACACAACCATTTTCTGAAAGTCAATAACAAAGAACTCCGGTACGCCATTGGAAACACTAATCTCGAAGTATTTGCGCCATGGTTTATACATCATCATGCCCCCTCATTCCCAAATCCCAAATATTTCACTCATTCCTCAAGGGGAAATATCTGTTTTCATAGGATCATTGGGGACTAATTAATAGTTTAGTCTCTCGATCAGCTTAAAAAAATTATGCTCATAACCTTAAAATGTATAATCTGAAAACCCAAGATGTTTCAAGTGATATCTACAGATGTATCTGATATTGGACCACAAGAAGTTCCAAGCATTATTGGATTTGAATCTAGTAACGGATGTCAAGAGATATTATGAACATTTGTAGAGCCAATAAAACATCATGTGGTTTGAGTAAAAGAGTTTCAACATTTACAAAGTATGGAATCCACATTGAAGACTATGTCAAACATTACAAGGATCAGAAGTCACTAGTTCCTACAATCGGATGTATGCTCAATTTGATGCCGTACCTAGAGGAACATGACCTCATCTATTGCAGTTTACAAACGATAAGTGAGATGCAGATTTAAGCTGGGGGAGGGATCTAATTGGGAAAAGCAATGGCACTCGTAGCATGACTGAAAATTAGAGTACCTCGGCAACTAAGGATTGTGATAATCGAAGTTAATAGATGTATTCAAAGCAAGAAGATCGTCTTTAAAGGATGGCATTCCTGATGGTTATTTTATTTGCTTTAATCACATTGTTACCCTTTTATGATAATCACTTCTGCCTTTTTTCAATCATTACCATTTCAGAAAAAGGAGAAAAAGATATTCCTGAAAGTGAACAAATTACAGGTCCTCCATGGTAGCACTTAGTCATGAATAGTATATTGGGTGAGAAAGGCGGACTAATCATGGATAGTATATCTCTAAAATGTACTTAAAAGAGAAGCCTCTTAATTGTCAAGTAAAAATTTGACTAACCCACCATTCTCATCCTTGCAGCCCCAGAGTGCTTCATGCAAGTAAATAAGATTCTTTGATTACCATGAAAATGCATGTAATCAAAATAATGGTTCATATCAAGCAATGAAAAACTGAATACTATTCATAACCATCAGAATTGCGTTCAATCGGTCAAACATAACCACATATTACAATGGCAAATTTCATACCAAGACCTACATTCTATCAGTGAAACATAAGGGCCGGTTCCTTCTAATATAACCATAAGATATAGTTGTTCCACGTATTGGATATACATCTAATGAAATACACCTCCAGAATAAAAAGAGCACTGAATTTAAAATATCCACTAAAACAGAGTATAATCAATTCTAAAAGGCATCTTTCTGCAGATATATTGCAGATTTTATGACAATAAATGTCCATGAGCATCCTTAGGCAAGCATGTCTAAATGTGTGCGACTTTGATTAAACTTAAGAGTATAAGGTGGATATGCATGTTTGCACATATGGACGTGCATGCACACATAAATGGACACACATGATAATCATCTAACTGCTACTACAACAAAGTCCTAAGCAGAGAAAACTCGATAACAATATGAGTGAAGAATAATATATATATATATATATATATATCACACCTTCCAAATGATAGGAGATGGAATCGAACAATAGTTGCAACGGTCACACTGATGGTAGCAAACTACCAAGAGTGAGAACATATAGCTGAAAATAAAAAAAAACACATGGTAGTCAACACGAAGCAAAAGTAATCTTACTGGTGTTTCGATGAAGTCCTTAGGCCGCCTGATTTTGACTATGGATCCAGAGATTGACTTGCCATCAAAAGCAAGAGCTGCTGTTGCATTTTCAGGTGTAAGAAACTCCACAAGAGCTTGACCCTTTTCTTTGTTTATCTGAGAACACAAAACTAAAATGAGAACAAAGGCCCAGCCATAATGGAATATCCATGATCTTAGCATGCACAAATAACTGATAAGCCAAATTATCGAAACACTTACCAAACAGCTGATGCAGGGATGAGTTCCTTTAATGCGAATAGCACCTGATGATAGAAGGAAATTATTGAGGCATTCCACAACAGACTCATCAGACGCCGATGCCGGAATGTTCTCTAGATAAAGCCTTCTAGACGGTCGAGTGGCTTGAGTAAGTTGAACAGAATCAAAGGGGTTTTCAGCAATTAATATGCCAGTCTTCGTCGAATTTAACATGCTAGAATTTAGAGCAGATGATGCAAAGGAGACAACTTTGGGCAACTCGTGAGTTTGAGATGTAACTACTTGGCGAGATGAAGAAGACTGCAAAGAACCCACATTTGAAATTACACCAGTTGTGTCCAGACCAACAGGTGGGAGATCCCAAGCTGCACTCTTTCTTTCAGGTGAACGAACCATTGGAGACGGAGTTCTCACTGCTGCCTCAGACCTTCTCTTTCGGGGAGAATACCCACCAAGACCACTTGCATTACCATGGCGCCTATAATGCCCATTTGAACTTGACCCGTTACTTCCTTTTCTACTCCTTTCTGTTTCGGAATGATGCCTTCCAACCCTTTCCTTGATAGAATAGTATGTTGACTCATCATGGCCCCAACCACGGTAAGAAGTACGCTTACGTGACCTTGGCGAAAGTGAAACAGATCTTCTTTCTCTACCTCTGTTTGGTTCTCGACTCTCTGACCTTCTACGTTTTGGCCTCGTTTCATCGTGATAAGAGGATTGGTTTGATTGTTTCTTCCTGCTGTTTCCTTCAAGATAATCATCGTCTTCTCTTCTGCTAGGTTCCTGTTTCCTTGCAACAACTCCATCTTTCTCTAGTTTATATTTTTCATCACTTTCACTTTTATGCTTCTTTTTGCTCTCTTTCTTGTACTTATCCCTCTCTTCATGCCTATCCTTTACACCCACTTCACTAAAATGGTGTTTCTTGGACCCTGTATTATGGTCATCCAGTTTACCCCGATGATGACCATGCTTTTCATTCTTGCCCCCGGTATCCCTACCCTTATCCCTGTGCAACTTTTCCTCTTTTCCTTTAGAATACCCATCTTCCTTGGTAGGAAGCCTACCATTTTTCTTTTTGGAGCTGCCCTTCTTCTTAGAATCATCCAAATCATGCTTCCCCTTCACATCCTTTGAAGATGAATCCCTTTTGTGAATTGTGTCAGACCCAGAGTGATCGGAAGTGGCATCAGTTTCTGGAACAGATTTTTTTGTTTTCCCTATAGTTCTTTCGCCAAAAGTCTCTAGAAGTTTCTTGTTATTCCTTCTCAAAATCAAATCTTCTATGGTTAAGGGTCTTGTTCGGGCTGATGTACCCTCATTTCTTTCATTCCTAGATAGCTCATAGAGAATTCCCGATTTACCGCTTAGCCGCTCAACTTCTGCCATCTTCATTAAGCATATAATAGTAACTGTATGCAACTGATATGAAATAAGGAACTCTGAACAACGACCTGGACAGAGTCAAACAAAACGAGTTATGACTGAGCTTCTAAAACATAAAGCCCAAGTGTTTCTACACTGTATGCTTAATCCCAAAATGTCTGCGAAGCAACAGGCCTAAAAGTTATTAATGCCAGAATATGAGCTCAGTCACTAATGGCCTTTTACAGAAAACGCAATTAGGGGCATTTTTTTACTAAAGCTTCTTATTTTCGTGTTACAAATTTTTTGATAATTTCGTGACCTGCAATATCAATTTATCAAACGGGATGCTGCAAAATTTGTTAAGCCTCAAGATCCCATGGGAGAACCACAATAATCATGTGCAAGGTAAATACTGTAGCTCAAAATCACATGGGACCATAATAATCATGTGCAAAGGAAATACTGTAGTAAGACTGCAATCAAGCCCAAAACATGCAGATAAGAACCTGATTTTTTTCACCAAGACTAAAAGCCTCCTTTCACAATTCAGAGCCATAAACATGGATATATCCAGTGCAATGGTATCCATAGTAAATATTTCCCCATAAATTGGAACTATGCACCCTTTTTCTATCATTAATTATGGATCTTTTAAAGGAAAGAAATTAAAAAATGAATAAAATCATAAGGCATTCCACTTTTCTCAAACAAAAGTTGATAGATATGGAAACGAATGAAACAGTGTTCAGTGAGATTATAGGCATAGGAAATTTGGTCATTCGCCATTAGCCATTACTCAACCAGTCGAAGATACAAACAATTACCAACTTCTCAAAAAGTAAACAAGTGGTAAAGTTGCATGAGGGATGTAACCAAGCAGATGGATCTTCAATGTGTAATAGATGTGTTCCAGGATAAACTCGATAAATCTTCCATCTCAAGCAAGGCATTAATAGGTAAACACATGAACTTTATTTATTTGTCAGTAACAAATGAACAATTTTGGTATCATAAAACATAGGGAAAATGATATCAAAAAACCATGTGAGCGAGAACTTCTTACTACTGATGAAAGAACATTTAATGAATGCGGAATGGAAACAATACGTGCAACCAACCCATGTATATGGCAAAAAACACAGTAAATGATCCTTAATTCCATGTTATTGGTAAGAAAATTCTTCCTCTTTTTCACAATGAAGGATATAACATAAAGCCGCACACTCACATTGTCAATATATCTTAGGATGTGAATGAATCTGTTTTTCAATTAATTTGTAATGTAGGACACTACTGCTATGTAGCAACTTTGTATTTCAAATCTAATTTGAACCTCCCCATACTTCAGAGTAAACACCGCATGTATGCTCATGCATTAAATGATTTCATCAGGATTCAAAGAAAGTTTTGGCGTTTTACATCAGCTGCCTACCTAACACAATCCACCTCATTTGCCCGGGGTTGAGACAAGTTAAGAGAAAGTTTAAGGGCCACACCCTTCTTAGACCAAATTACATATGATTTCATACAACTCGTAAAATACCTCGTACTGAATCTACTAAATATTTTACATTTAAAAAAAAAGCAGTAAAAACATCGAACACGCAATTTTTCAAGTTTTTTAAGTAGACGTAAAAATATTCTACTCCTTCTCAAGCATAAATAAATAAATAAAAGAGATGGTACAGTCCAATATCTGAAACTAGAACATTTTCACAAAGAAATAAAATGCATTTTTTAATTTTAATACAATAAAAGGCATTAATCCATAAACCAAATATTCTTTCCAGCAAAAATTCGTATGCCACATTCAAAACGTAACTGGCTAGTAAAAGTTTCAACAAACAATTATAACAAAATATGGATGAAATACTTATAAAGAAACTAAGTAAACATGTATCAAACTCATAAAATTTCCCATTCATAAAATACAAAATAAGTACAAATATCTCTAGAACGAAAAAAATAAAATAACTGACAACCCTATTATCAACATAACTAACAAGCTCGGCCCAAAATTTTGAGTTCTGATAAGCCGAAGAAACATTATTGCAGAAGAAACATAACGAAATCAAAGAGCGACAAAGATTATCAAATAACAATACTTTTAATATGCACCTTGTTTAGATACAACAAATAATAGGTAAAGACACAGAGGGAGAGAAGTTACCAGTTATGAGACAAAACTCATGCTTTCACCTAGTGAAGGAAGTTGCTGTTCTAGAGAGAGAGATTTGCAATTAGGGGATGGAGGCGAAGAGGGAGAAGCTCGGAAGAAATAAGGCTAAGAAAATAGGGGTTAGAGAGAGAAGGGAGTTTGAAAGGGAAGAAACAGAGTTTAGGTTGTTCGCCACATGGTTTGCCTTTCTCGACTGGATGTAACCACGGGAAGGAAGAGAGACACGAATGGGGTAGATATTTACAGGGGCACTTATGGCTTTATGCTGGTCCCGCCCTACCCATAACAAATATAAAAGGAAAAATTACGTAAATATCTTTTATATTTTTCGTTATTGAAACTTTTTTCGTTATTTAATCAATGTCCGTTTTTTCAACTTGATAACACTGTTCATTTTCGGTTTTTTGAAAAATCTAAATTTTTTAAAAAATGAATTTCAAAAACTGAATTTTTTAAGTATCAATGTTATGTATTTCCAAATTTTTAGGGAGTGAATTATTTTTTTTGTTATCATGCATGCCTCTACATTTTCACTTCAAGGGTTTGAATCCCTCATACGCAATCTAAATTTTGTATTACTTTCACGTCAAGGGTTCGAGTCCTCCATACGCAGCCTAAATTTTTTCAATAAAAAATTGATGCTTTTATTTTATTAAAAAGAAGAAAAAAAACTCATCATGGAATGGATGTTTTTATTTTATTAAAAACAAAAAAAAAAAAATCCCCCCATAAGTAATCTAATTTTTTTAATAAAAATCTAATGTTTTTATTTTATTAAAAAAAACATTATAAAATAGGCAAAATTTGATACCAAAACCTTTTTGAAGAAAACCAAATACTTTTACCAATATATTATTTGATTAATGGTGATATATATATATATATACCTTTTTGTTTTTATTACTTCTTTTGTTTTAACACTCTGAGTTACATGCAATAAAATTGGTTTTTCAAAAATCAAAAATAAAAATTTAAAATTTTATTTTTGAAAAATCAAATATTAAAAAAAATGATTTTCAAAGACAGTAAATGGGTAATTTCATTTTTTTTTTTAAAAAAGCGTTATGAAGTTGAAAAAATGGACATTTGGGTAATAACCGAAATTTTCAAATATTTTCATAATAACAAAAAATATTATGGATATTTGCATAATAGTCCCAATATAAAAATACGGTTGATATTTTGGAAAATATATGAATAACAGCTCAAATTGGGACCAATACCCCCATCAAGCTTTCTAATATTTATACAAAGAGACTATTTATTTTTAACAATAAGTGATCATAATCATTTTTGTTCTTCGGATTTTAAATTGGGTGGTTGCAAGTATGTTATTGACTAGATTCAAAGTTTTTTAAAAAAAAAAAATTATCGAACTTTGTGATATCCCAAGTCATCCAATTTGACATCTAATAACTACGAATAATTACATCATCCTGGGATAAATGGTTTCATTGTATACAATTTTTTTTTATTTTTTAGCATTCCCATGCCTATTACTTATGGCATTTATGATTTAACCCTTTGTAATTGAACTAAGCCATAAGCCTAATCACCTTTCAAACCTTCGACCTTTTCACATTCCAAACCCCTCATGCCTTTTGTCTCGATTTTAAATTTGTTAGTTGTAAGTGTGTCGACTAGATTCAAAGTTCAAAAATAAATTATTGAACTCTGCAACACACCCAAGGATATCTAATTTGGTATCTATTAGCTAGGAGTATGGAGTCTTCGGGGGTATTGGATTGTGGGTCGGTATTTCGCAAGAGTAAATATTGCTGGTGTAGATGGGCCTTTATTTGGGTGATTGGTATTTGGTATGGTATTGAGAGGCATCTGCTTTTAGGTTTTAGGGGCAATATGTGGGCTTTTTATTGAATATTTTATCATATGTAGAATTGGTACAGTTGTGGTAGTTGAGTGATATATGTTTGGGCTATGTTCCTGTATTTAATTTTTCCTGATTTCAGAGTGCGGTTATGCAAATTAACTTTAAAGGGGTGAAGATGGAGGATGGGGAGCATTTAGTAGAAGTCAATGAGTTATTAGTGAGTTATTAGCAAAGTGCTTTGCAAAGAAGATGGAGGGAAGATGGGTCTGTGCAAGCTAGATGGAAGCTGTAAGGAAAGCTAAGCTAAGGCAAGCTAGGGGGGGAAATCAAAGGAATAACTAAGGGGGAGCACAAGCCCTGCCAATTAAAATAAAAATAATAATAGATGGTAAGATATTATACTTTTTTTCGGTCTGTAGGGGAATCCACTCAAAAAGATTTTTTCACAATATCGATTATTTATTGAATCATCAAATTCTCTTGTACCTTCCACCACTTGTGACTTTTCAAGCTAAACCGCAACGGACGGCGCCAGTTCTGCATGAATTTTTTGACTGCCGCAAACCTAGTATGTCTGTGACGGTACCCACCACGGACATGCTAGGTCTATGGGAGTCGAAAAAAGCATGCTTCCCAATTTTTCGAACGGTGGTGAGCCTATAGGCGAAAACACTATTCATTTTTCACCCATAAACATAGTGTAGATGCTTCATCTCTCTCTCTCTCTCTCTCTCTATCTCTCTCCCATCCTATAGGAAAAATATGGGATTAGCCCACTAGCTCATGTGAATATATGAGCCCAAAGTCTTAAATTAAATCTGGGTTGATCTGATGATCACAGATGTCCGGTAGTATTTGAATTTTATTTATTTTTCTAGAAATTCAAAACACTTGAAATTTTAGGTGTGTGTTTATCAAAATAAATGAATCTTCAAAAAAATATCAAAAAAATATTTTACATAAAATAAATTAACCAAAATACCCCCAAAAAGATTTGAGGGGTATTTTGGTCTCTCTATTTTTGTGAATAAATTTTTATATATTTTTATTAGGT